TTATTTTATTTATAATACCTATTGTTATTATTCATACAATTTCAATATATGGTTTTAATTTGAAAAGTGCTTAATGCTGTGTTTTAGTACTTACCCATTTGTTTCATTGTACAAGTCAAGGAAAACGGGTAGGGGGTGGGGGCTGCATGGTTTACGGAAAATAATTCCCCGAGAAAAAACTCCGGCGAAGATTCTCTCTGGAAAACAGTCGTCTGAAAATAGTACCCCAACGATAAAAATCGCCGAAAAATTCCTTAACAAATTTTCTGGAAATTTTCTTCTGAGGAGACATATTTTCCGAGAAGAAATGTTTTCAGTACATTTCCGATTTTTGCTTTCCAGGGAATTTTTTTCCTTAACAGGCATAGCCTGTTTCGCAGGCGGACGCTCCAGCAGCTAGCGGTGGTCCTGCTTACAAATTAGTCTATTTGCAAAATAATATGTCCAATAGGTGTTTTATATTTACTATTTACATAATAGTATGAACTTTCCTTAAAACTTGTAGAAACGTGTCACGTTTACTTTTTTTGCACACGTATATTAAAAATTCAGAGATGTGATTTATTTGAAATACTTGCATTCAAAAAGCAAATACAAAATAAAAAATACCTATTTTCATCTTGCATTTAAATACTTTTTTCAGAAAAGCATTTTGTATTTTATTTGAAATACTTTTCCAAACATATTTTTTATTTGTAAAATGCAAAATACATTTTTGCCGTTGAAAGCTTTGCTAGATCACCGATCAAACATGTTGTTTCACATTGGCCAGTAAAGGTACTAGAAGTTTAAGAAGGGGTCAAAGAGACACTCCATGAATGCCCTCTAATTCTTTAACCGAAGAGAGCCCAAAAAATTCTAAACTCCTTGGAAATGGATAATCTAAAATATTAGGTTCCGGGTTCATTGTCATGGTCCATAGAATTTTGAAGTTCCAAATTGATATCAGCACCTGCCAAATCACCACCTATAGTACCTTTAGCAAGGAACTACGAAATTCTATGAATTACGACAAAACAGCCCGCAAAACAATATCGAATTGATATATATATACGTCAGCTGTCTAAAACTGAAAACTACAAGATATTGTGGTGTGCTAATAAATGCCTATAACCCAAGCTACTTAGAAAACAATTCGAAAAGTTTTACTTATTAGATGAACCCAAAGATAAATAAAATTTGGATTCCATTTCTTTCTCTTATTACAATTTGTAAAAGATCGGAAACAAAATGCGGTTGTAAATATTTTGATAAAAAATAATTGATGTTGATTTTGGCTCTGATCTTTCGCGGTAAACAAACTATTTTGGTATCAGTGTTTTTTTTCCAATTAAAGCGGGTGACATAGGTAAATAAGGAAGCATATAGAAATTTTTGTTGCTGAACTGAAGAAACTATAAGATAAACATAATGTAAATATAAATAAAACTACAGTGTAAACTCTTTATAACGTCACTCGATTTAATGGCAAACTCTTTAAAACGTCGAAGTTGCTTGACTTTGGTTGGTTTATATTGTTTTCTATACAATATTAGACTCTATATAGCGTCACGCTCACTCTATTTAACGACAACAATGCGGCATTATAAGTCATTAAGCAGTACTTTTTAAGTTGCCGAAATAGATAAGAACTGCAGCTGTGTACGTTGTTGAAGAAGACGATCCTGTCCCTCCACC